TTGATGAACAATATTAGTGGTCCTGTGAAAGTTAATACTTAATTTACATTTAACTGATAGATATATGCATCTTAATGTCTTTATTCTTTCCATATATGCAGCGTATGATGGTGGGTCCAGTGATAATGATAGTGATGGACGACTGATGTCTTTGACTGATACAGAACAGTTCCAATCACGAATGCTGAATTTTGGTTGATTATGAAAATTCATGATGTCAAAGTAGATGTGTTCTTCCACACAAGGTAGGGTAATATATTGTACAAAATGCAATAGCCAATTATGTGTCAAGTTGATTTCAGAATGGCCAATCATGTGTCAAGTTGATTTTAGAAGAGCCAATCATGTGTAAAGTTGAGTTCAGGGTGACCAATCATGTATCAAGCTGATTTCATATTACCCAGTCATCTATACATTTGAATTCAGGATGGCCAATCATGTGTCAAGTTGAGTTACGGATGGCCAATCATGTATCAAGATGATTTCATAATACCCAATCATGTATCCAGTTGAATTCAGGATGGCCAATTATGTGTCAGGTTGAGTTAAGGATGGCCAACCATGTGTCAAGTTGATTTAAGAAGGGCAAATCATGTGTCAAGTTGAGTTCAGAATAGCCAATCATGTGTCAAGTTGATTTCAGAAGGGCCAATCATGTATTGAGTTGAGTTCAGGATGGCCAATCATGTATTAAGCTGATTTCATAATACCCAGTCATCTATCCAGTTGAATTCAGGATGGCCAATCATCTGTCAGGTTGAGTTAAGGATGGCCAATCATATGTCAAGTTGAATTCAGAAGGGCCAATCATGTGTCAAGTTGAGTTCAGAATGCCCAATCATGTGTCAAGTTGATTTCAGAATATCCAATCATGTGTCCAGTTGAATTCAGGATGACCAATCATGTGTCAAGTTGATTTCAGAAGGGCCAATCATATGTCAAGTTGAATTCAGGATTGCCAATCATGTGTCAAGTTGATTTCAGAATGGCCAATCATGTGTTAAGTTGATTTCAGAAGGGCAAATCATGTGTCAAGTTGATTTCAGAAGGGCCAATCATGTGTTGAGTTGAGTTCAGGATTGCCAATCATGTATTAAGCTGATTTCATAATACCCAGTCATCTATCCAGTTGATTTCAGAATGGCCAATCATGTGTCCAGTTGAATTCAGGA